TATTGGTGAAAGTGATGACAATGAAAACAAAAGTCAAGTTGACGTATTATTGGAACATAATTTATTAAACTCGAATATTTCGTCCACTCCTGTGGACTTCATCAGCGTGAGTGATATACATAAGAGATACTTAGCTACAAGTTGCCTGAAATTTATTTGGCTTATCAACAAAGCATGGGCGGTACTAAAACTTAATGCGAAATAAACAAAAATAGTGAATAAGAATTAACTTGAGAGCTTAGTTGTTATCTTAATCATAGAGAAAATAGTCTCATGTCTTAAGTAAGAATGCTTACTATAGCAAAGACAATGTCTTAATGCTGAGTATAGATAAACAATAAGAAATGAGAAAGCAGATAATGGCTGTTCGCACGATATGCTGACTGTGAGGGGATGGCTTCTAAACAAATAGAGAAATAGGATGTAGGCCTAAGCAGGAAATGGAAAATTATAAATAGGTAAAATAAAGCATTATATATGGGTAACAATATAGAACAGAAATATAAAATATGTAATATAATATAAAATAAATATATAATGAAGTCCGTAGCATAGTCAAAATAAATATACAGGAAATGAAATAGGGCTGGAGTGAACAAAGTATAGGCTTGCTTAATTATTACGGTATCTTTGACGAATGTATATTCACTGGCAAAGCCCATGTCCTTATTAAGACCTTTTTTGTGGGTTTTTAGGCGGAGAATCCAACGGATTTCCCCACTCCGTCTTTCTTTAGTAGATATGAAATTACTTTGTAGAATAATACATCGCATGTCACTGGCATTGTGGTTAGGTAGACTGAAATGAGCTGCAACTGATTCGCTCATGTCTTTGCGTCTAATATTAAGTCTCGCCCTGATTTTGGTACCTGTTTCACCTATGTAGTTGCCATGGTTACACTTAATACAGTAGGTGAGATAAATAACGTTAGAAGCATGGCAGTCTAGGTTGGGGGGGGGGGGGTGTACGATTTCCGTGGATCCTGGTATTTTGAATCTATGTCCTGTAGTGATTATGTTACATAATTGACATCTAATGTCTTTGCATGGTTTGTTACCTGTGTTTGTGGAGAGGTGGTCAGCTGTCTCTTATACACATCGATGTTATGAGCGATTTAAGAATTGGGGGGGGGGGGGTTGCCTGCGTGCGATTATGGGTGGTTTGTAATAAAGTTGGGCGATGGATGGGTCTGATTTGAGTATTTTGTAATCAGTTTTAATGGCATCTGTAAATGTCTAATATAAGTGGTACCGTATGCAGTTGCTATTAGGCTTTTCGTTGTATATGAGGAGATTTGTTCTGGTTTTATGTGTAGCTTTAGCTACGGCAGCTTTAATTAATGGCAGTGGATAGTTGCATTTAACAAAATTAGATATGAGTGTGGATAGTTGTTTGTTATAGTCGGTGGTGTCAGAACAAATTCGTTTAAGACGGAGGCACTGGCTGTAAACGATAGACTTTTTCAGGCTTGTGGGATGGAAGCTGTTGAAGTGAAGATATTTATGGTTGTCAGTGGGTTTAATGTGGATGGATGTTGAGATGGTACCGTTTTTGATTGTGGATGTTATATCTAAAAACGGAATCTGAGAATTCGATGATTCGAGTGTCAATTTTATGCTGGGATGAAACCTGTTGATATGGGTCTCAAACTGGCTGAGTGTGTTAGGGCCGTGTTCCCATATTATGAATATGTCATCTATGTATCTAGTATAGAATGTGGAGAGGGAAACTAGATAACATGCGTTCTTCTAGGTCGGCCATGAATATGTTTGGCATAACTAGGAGCCATTTTGGTCCCCATAGCTGTACCTTTAGTCTGTAGTATTTCCCATTAAATGTAAAGTAGTAT